TGAAATATTCAATCTGTTTAAAAATACGATGTATAATATTCGACAGGCAATTTTCAGTCCATTTTATTTCACTTTACAAATTCACTTCCACTAATTCAGTGGTTCAAATTCGTCAGAAAATTCAGCACTTCACATCCGGGAACTGCAGGGAATTAAGACTTAAGAGCTGTGTTTACGTTTAATTCAGCATCTTCGCTGTTGCTTGTTTCCCCGTGAAGCCACATGTAAGCAGCTTTCTCTACCAAAGGAGATTATAATTTTTTTTTTTTACGGTGGCCGAGAGAGCTCAACGCGCTGCAAATAGAAAAAACATCTGCATATTAAGAAAACAACTTCATCAATTTGACAACACATGCTCTGCAAATGCTCACAACACAACCAAATAAAGAAACGCGCTGCAAATAGAAAAAAAACACCTGCAAATTAAGAAAACAACTTAATTAATTTGACAACAAATGTGCTGCAAATACTCACAACACAACCAAACAAAGAAACGCGCTGCAAATCAAATTCTTTATTTGGTTGTGTTGAGCATCTGCAGCGCGATTCTTTATTTGTTTGCGTTGTGAGCATTTGCAGCACCTGCAGTCAAACTGATGAAGATGTTTTCTTGATTTGCTGGTGCTTTTTCTATTTGCATGTCTTCTGAAGTTGCAGCGCGTTGAGCTCTCTCGGCCACCGTATTTTTTACCCAACGCTGATATACAGAACTAACATTACATCTGAGATATTGATGTCGGTTGCTTAGTTTCCTTAACTTTATATCATGACTTGTGTGACGCTAAGTTGTGATACTGGGGTTTCCCTCTTACATCACACTCCAGGATTCCACAAAAATGCTTAACACGCCTCAATGAACTAATAGAGTGACAAGACCTCAGATCTCAGTATACACCTTACTGATGATGCAAACTATATACAGGCAAGTAGATGAGGTCAGAAGAACGCAACGCTCTGCATTTTAATTTAATAATCGCTTTTCTAGCACCGTAAAGTTAGTCTTAGGTTTGATATTCACCTTTGCCAATGTTTTATTGAGTAGACAGTCCTACAAAGATATCACTATCATGATTAGTTTTAACAATAAGCAACCACTTTATATCGACATAAAAAAAAAATTCAAAATCATGTGTATTGAAGCTGCACATTTTAACCAGAGAAGACATGCTATCACACAGTGCCCAAGGGACTGTCTGACAATCCACTCAGTAGGTTAAAACGTTCATTTATTTATTTATTATTTTTTTTTTTTTGGGAACATGAGGAACATAACTAGGTGAATTACAGCAATTTTTCGAAGAATAATTATGTACTGTATGTACAGTAAGGAAATTTCAACTGTAGTAAGTCAGCCTGGTCACTAGGAACATACAACAACATTTGGAACATGAAAAGCCCCATTTTGCTGAATTGCTGTAATATTTTTTCTTAAAAATATTTGTATACTTAGGGTTATTATTGTCAAAGGCGAGATATTGGCAATATATATTCTGTCAGTTTGCCCTCTAGGCATTTACTATAGCCCTGTAAACATTAAATTGAATGAATTATTGGACTTTGTTTTATACTGTGAGGTAAAATTGCAGATGATCCCTAAAGCAGCCTAGGCGAATATGCAGCGAAAATCTAACCTAAAATTAACTTTACCCCGCTTGGTTTTCTATGGGAGAAAAGGGCTTAGGTGAAACTTTGTGGTTTGTGTTAATATTCTGGACTCATCTGCTTATCTGTATATAGTATATTTGATTAATTAGACACCGAATTTGGTCATTTATTGAGGCAATAAACCACGTTAAGTGTTTTCTTTATGGCAAATGTTTAACGTGCAGTATTCTGGTTTCATCTGCTTGCCTGTATAGTTTGCATCATCAGTAAGGTTTATTCTGAGATCTGAGGTCTTATGTCACTGTATTACTTCATTGAGGTGTGTTAGTCGTTTGGGGAATCCTGGAGTGTGATGTAAGAGGGAAACCCCAGTATTACAACTCAAGCCATGATATAAAGTTAAGGAAACTAAGTAACCGACATCAATATCTAAGATGTAATGTAATGTTAGTTCTGTATGTCAGCGTTGGGTAAAAAAGCATTATAATCTCCTTTGGTAGAGAAAGCTGCTTACATGTGGCTTCACGGGGAAATAAGCAACAGCGAAGATGCTGAATTAAACGTAAACACAGCTCTTGAGTCTAAATCAGCTTTTCCACATATACATACTGGCCCTGATAACCATAAAAGTTCTATTTACCGCTTACTACATTTCTGCAGATTAGTTTTTGTGAATGAATGGCTTGCTCTACCTGTTGCTTTGGTCTTGTGCCACCTGCTGGTGAGCAATTAACAGCAGATGCAGATCATGCATTGGTGCTCTACTGCTATTCCTGCAGTTCCCGGATGTGAAGTGCTGAATTTTCTGCCGAATTTGAACCACTGAATTAGTGGAAGTGAATTTGTAAAGTGAAATAAAATGGACTGAAAATTGCCTGTCGAATATTATACATCGTATTTTAAAACAGGTTGATTATTTTGGAAGTGAACTCAGGAAGGTGAATATGAATTATTGAATTTTTAATTATGAAAATATGTGTGAAATTTTTTGAATTGAAATATTGACAGCTTAAACAACTGTTAAATTTCAGCCCCTAAAATAGGGGAAGCCCTGAAAATACAAGGCATAAAAATGCAAGCGTTGTAAATGCAATGCATTTTTTTTTTCAGTTAGTGCAATTCAACATGCTTTTTTGTTTCAAAGACATTTGTCATTATTTTACTTCCATATAAAAACAACATACCTGTGCGGTGAGAATAATACATGTATTATTAATACAATAATACATTTATTATTAAATGTATTCATTTAGTTTTATTTTTAGTACAGGTAAGCATCACGTGTCTGGATTGTTTTGCATATGAAATGCAAATGATTCCATTCATTTTAAAACAACAAGGTATTATAAACTGGGGAATAAAGATTATTTATGTCCATCCTATCCTCCCAAAATAAGATTGTGGCCGTATCTGTTGCTCCTTCAAAAGCTGGAGACTCAGGACTTGGTATCTGTTATTGTTTCTTCCCTCACGGGCCAGAGGCTTTGAACATTGGTGATCTGTTAGTGTCTCTCTGGACGCACCAGAAACTCAGGACAGTGTATCTGTTAACGTCTCTTCCATTACAGGACTGAGACTCAGAACAGTTGTTGTGTCTGTTGCTGCCTTCCCTGTAACAGGCCAGAGACTCAGAATTTCTGTTACAGTCTCTCTGGACGAAAGACTCAGAACGAGTGTATCGAGTGTATCAATGTTACGAATGCATTAAGTCCAAACATGATGGCAAAAGAATTAACTGTCATGCATGCATTCATTTGTCCATTAACAGCTGAGCTTGTGTAAGATGTTACACTACACATAGCTGTCACTGAGAATACCGATTTCTCTGAATTAGTATATGATGTGTGTGTTGTAGTTTGCATCAGTTTTAAGGTTTGGAAACACTGTTATGAATGGATTTGGATGGATCTCTTTGATCTCTCTTTGCTTCACCCACTGCTGCTGCATCCCAGAGGTCCTCAGGAATTTTTATGGTGGTCACAAGCCAAAACCTTAGGTCTCTAGGTGGGTGAAGGGCAGAAACTGCATTCTGACCAATGAAGAAGACCTGTCCTTCCTGGGCTTGGTACCAGATATCATCCTCTTGCCATCTAAGAGGTGTCTGGCCATTATCCTAGCATCATTATCTGATGGCGTTGGACAGTTTGCTTATGTTAGTCTGCCAAGATCCAATCAAAATGTAGTAAACCTTTGTCCACTGTCGTGATCAGAAAGGGGCCCCGCCATAAACTGGGCCTTGCATGGCAGTTTCTAGCCATTTTGAGGCCCTAGGCGAAATCCCTTTTGGCGCCCACCCCCAAATTAATTTTATTACATTTGGATTTAGATACATGCTTAGACATTATCAATGACTACTTTTTGTCTTTATCTGTGTTTTTTTTTTTTTTTTTCCATTT